TACTCTCTCGATATATAATCTACTATTATTCTACATAAAAAATGGAATAAAAAAAAGAAAATTAATTAAATTGACACCACATAGGTATTCTGTTTACATCCAAGATTACAATCATTGCACGTGATAATAATCTTGTTCAAATAAAAATGGCATTCTTATAGATAACTCAACTCTATATACAGTCTGTCCAAGATAAGGTTGAACAGCATGGGGATCTCGGAAACGGTAGGAGATACGAAGTCGCTTAAATGGGGAAAAAGTTGCGCATTCGGAGGCTCATATCAAGAGCCTTCGAAAATTTTGAAAATTATTTTTAGTTTTTGAGTTATATCGAAAAAAGTGAATTTTTGGAATTTCTATTTTATTTTTTTTCTCCGTTATTATCAGAGATACAGAAAAACTGAAAATACTTTTTCATTGCAACTTTTGATGAGGTTTAACGTGGTGATACCGATTTTTTTATGCGACGTTTCGTATTCGTGGAACCATCATCAACTTTTGTTTTTTAAATACGGTCCTGATAATTTTTTCACAGATTCTGAAAGGTTTTTTTATTCTGAATTCAACAATGTACTATACAAGGTGATTCGAATGTGTTTCGACCGATTTCTATCCATCATCAATGTTTTTTCGAACTTCCAAAAGAAAAAAAGCCATCAGTTCCACTTATTTCTTATCATTTAGTGTCAAACTTGATGAATTAGTTATTCAATACTGAAAAGTGAATAAAAAATATTTCACTACATCATTCGATCAATGCAGCGTTTAAAATTGTTGATGAATTCTTACACGAATTACTTTAACAACTTAACTTTGACAATACCTACAGAGACATTTCATAACAAATGTTCAAAATGATAACCATTATTTTCTCACAGTTGTTTCTAAGACATTGCTAAGCATTTCTGGGGTTATTCTATTGAATGCTTCGAAGACACTGTCCCTTAGTTCTTCTTCATCCTCAAAGTTATTTGCGTGTACAAAGTTCGATATATCCCCTAAGAAAAAATCCAGCTGTGTTAAATCAGGCGACCGCGCCGGCCAAGCGATAAAAACGCACGGACTTCTCTGGAATTATGTACCGGAGCGCCATCTTGTTGAAACCAACAGAGTTCTGAACTTCCGCAATCGGTAAATCATCCAGAGCTTCCTCAAGATGATTCTCAAGCGAATTTCTATAACGTTCGGAAGTCTGTGTTTCATGGTAAATAGAAGGAACAATAATTCGTGTACCAAATATTGCAACCCACATATTAAAGCCGAAACGGTGTTGGTGTCTCGCTGTAATGTATAAATGTTCATTTTCTCGTGAACAATAATGTGTATTTTTTCTATCGAAGCTACCATGATTAGTGACCATGCTTTCATCAGTCCAGATGATTGTTCGAAAGAAATCTGCAAAATTTCAACATTTCTTGGTATACCACTCACAGGATGTCTTGCGCCTTTCGTCATCTCCTGGTTTTAGCGCTTGACATATTCTGAATTTGTATGGATGGAATTTTTATTTCCGCAAAATGAAATGGGTTGTTGATTGAAACCAGTTGATGAGGTATTAGTGTGTTGACTAATTTTCCTTCAAAATAAGTGGAACTGATGGCATTTTTCCTTTGGAGTTTCGAAAAAACATTGATGATGGATGGAAATAGGTCGAAACACAAATGAACCACCTTGTATAATACATGATTGAATTCAGAATAAAAAAACCTTTTAGAATCTGTGAAAAAATTATCAGGACCGTATTTAAAAAACAAAAGAAAATCGGTATCACCACGTTGACCGTCATCAAAAGTTGCTATGAAAAAGTATTCTCAGTTTTGCGGTATCTCTAATAATAACGGAGAAAAAAAATAAAATAGAAATTCCAAAAATTCACTTTTTTCGATATAACTCAAAAACTAAAAATAATTTTCAAAATTTGCGAAGGCTCTTGATGTGAGCCTCCGAATGCGCAACTTTTTCCCCATTTAACCGATTTCGTATCTCTTACCGTTTTCGAGATCCCCATGCTGTTCAACCTTATCTTGGACAGACTGTATATCCATAAGATTTCGATGGATATTAACTAAACAAAGTCTCAGAAAGTCACTATAATGAGCGCTAATCAGAATAGGAATTGAATAATGCAAATGTATCTTGTTTATAAAGTATTTGAGTAAAGACCAGGCGCTAGGGGGGGGGGCGAGCGCCCCCCCTTGCCTCCCCCCGGACGCCTCTGGATCTGTGCCTTATAGATCATAATAAGCAGCTGACTGGAAGTGAAATTGCTCCTGGCCCGAAACAGAAAACCAAGTTTTTGGGATGCACTTCTAGCAATTGATCTCACGTGATTTTCCCAAGAAAGATTATTGCTGATAGTATCGTAATGGATGTCTTCAAAGGTATGGTTACTCCTGACAAGGTTATGTTGGGTGCAGTGAGATCGGCTCTTCTAGAGAAAAAGCATGCATACAATTTGAAAATTTTTGAATTTACTTATGTTACTTTCATTGAGTGGAATTTCGTGGCTACGCCACTGGTGTACACGTATCTACTCGTCAAATGTATGTCCTGTCCTGTTGTTAATACCGTTTGTAACATATGGTATTTTCGATAAAAATTTGGACCTTTATGCTTAAGTTAGAAGTCACATTCACAATATCATTAATTCACTGAATATTACTTACTTGCAGGTATAGATCTGATGAGGGCTTAACAGCCGAAAGCACTTCGCGATTCGATAATGAATATATTTTACACGAAATGCAGATTTCTTGAAACTTGAACTGAAAACCCTAATGAACTTTACTGGTATCAAAGCTGGTATCGACCGAGTTTACTAAAAATACTGAAGACATCAACTGAATAATAAAAATATGTATCTCATCCGTATTATATGTATTAGTATCCCCCCCCCCCAAGTGCTCAAGGGAATAACCTAATATTAATAATGTCATTAAGTATAGGGATACATAAGTAGCTAATAATGAAGCGGGCTATAATTGTTTCTAGAGCGGAGGCCCGACTGTTAGGCTAATTATAAGATTACCTCAAAGACGTTGACGATCCATCGAACTTTTAATTTAATAATTTAAAATTCTCCCACATATGTTCCCAGAATTATCTATCCAATACCGTCTTTACCATACCATAAGGGCACAAAGGGTCCATCATCAGCAGGAGGCCCCGAGGGTCCGACAATTTCTCTAACATTTATTTTCAATATTTTTGTGGAGCACAGTATGTATTCCTAACAACGCTATACAGGGTGTGTCACGACGAGACGACCAGCTTACACTATCTCTATATCGAGAATCGGTCGGGAGAAATCCATGAAAATATATATACGCTCTCTTCATTTAAAATATTTTCAGGAATGCCGCTTCTGTCAGAAAGTAGCAACAACTTTGGTTTTTCAAATAGAATACCCTGTATTTTATTGCATTTTTAGATTCTCCTTGAAGAGCTGATTTCATGGATATATCAAACTTGGGGATTATCGGAAATGATTACAGAGATATAGCATGTTCAAAATCAAACTTTTAAATTACTTTGTTTGTGTCGAAACTATTTATTATCCGCCAAAACGGCTTACATGTCCCTATCTCAACTCTCAATTTACTATTTACTGATATCTAATCCTGTATCTGTTCCGATTAAATATCCGTAGATAGTGAATCAAAAATTGAGATAGGGACATGTGAGCCGTTTTGACCGATAATGAATAGTTTCGACACAAAAAAATTCTAAAGTTGAGAAATCTCGATTTTGAACACCCTATATCTCTATAATCATTTTCGATAGAGTCCAAGTATGATCTATGGAATCAGCTCTTCTGGGAGAATTTGAAAATGCGATAAAATACATGGTGTTTCATTTGAAATATTAATGTTGCTACTACTTTCTAGTAGAAGCGGCAACATTGCATTGTCGAAAATATTTGCAAAGAAGAGAGCGTATTCAAAAATATAAGAATGCACATTTTCATGGATTTCTCCTGACTGATTCTCGATTTTCGAAAATGATTACCGAACATGCACCAACTTTCGGCACTATCTGTATTTTCGTTGTGCAATTAAATAAAAAGATTCCCATATGTTGCACACTTAAATGACCACACTGTATAACTCATTGTAAGTAAATTTTTTCAACTCAACAGTTTTCGAAATATTGGCGAATATTTCTCAGTTAAAATTAATAAATAGATTTGAGTAATCTTCATTCGAATAATTCAAACAAGCCGGCATGATTGATTACAATGACATTTCCGTGGCAGTTGATTGTTTCCAACGCAACTGCGGGCGCCATGGCCAACTAAGAATAAGTAAACTCAAGAATATAAGATTTTCTGGAACTGAGACATGTTCATTCGCCAATATTTCGAAAACTGTTGAGTGTAGGCATAAATAATCTTTTTCATAGTTAGCTTCATTTTCGATGCCGAATTGAATGAGAATATAAAATTGGGGGGTTTTCATTTGAAAAAATTGACTCACAAAATTTTTCTGGTGAACGCCCTGAATGACTGTAATCGAATTGATATCGAAATTCTACTGAAATAAATGATCATGTCCAGAAATAAAAAAAAAATATATTTTTCGGTCTGCAAACGCAATTTTCAACGTAAAATTTGAAATATTTCGAAAACGGTTAGAATTGGGTAAGTATAGGACATTATACATGAAACATGTTCAGACTCATGCGTAAAATCTAAAACCTTAATAATATACAGGGTGTTTCATTTGAAATAACGAAGTTGGGGTCCACTTCCGATGCAACCGGAAGTGCCACAATCTTCAAAATATTTTAGCCAGATAGCACTTATCAACAATAGTGAAATCCCAAATTTTCAAATTCGGCCCACCTATTTTCTCGAGGGTTTTCTATATATTGATCGATGCAATTCCCGGAGGGACACCCTCTGTATATGCACTGACAATGTGTCAACTTCGAGGTCAACTTCATATACGAATACGGCTTTGATAAGTTTGATACGGCCCTGCTCTACAGAAGTACAGATGAATAATAGTTCACATTATCAATCTGGATTACATTGGCAAACAACAACAAACAGCAAATCGCCAGTTAATACTTTATCTACCTATAGATATTTCAATTGACAGAATTGAGTGAATTGTGGAAACGCTCATACCACCTCCTATCGAACGAAATAAATTATAGAATTTAATATAACGAGGGACGTTCACCGTATCAGCGTCAGTGGCATGTCAGCAGGTGAAAGTAAAACTGTCGCCAAATTTGTGATTGGGAAATTGGTGCTCCGAAATGATCGACAAAAGTTTCGTCAACGTGATCCTGCTGGGTATCTCCTTCATGTTGATATTCACGGCATTTCAAACCATGGGAAACATTCAGGTGAGTGAGAGAAAGAACTTAACTTACCGAAATGATACAAAACAGTAAACACAAGAACAACACGAAAGTCGAAACATCACCAATCACCACAAAACTCAACAGTACAGTCAACTCGCTGTCTAGCACTGTGTTGCCAACTCTGTTTTTCAAAAGTCGCAAAATGGCAACGTAAAACCCATCTTACGATTTTTTGGTGGCTTTAACTTGAGTTTGAATCACTAAAATAACACCAAATAATGAAAGTCTAGCTGGTCAACAAATCTTGGATTAACAACCCAGATGACATCGATCTACTTGAGAAATGACGACCTACTATCGAAATATAATGACACACTTGAAACGAGTGCTTTAGCAGTACTTCATAAATGACGGTATAAACGCACTTTCGCATTTATAGTTTGTATTTCCCGGTCAGATACTTGGAAAGTGCTCGATCGAGTCTGGCACCACGGACTCCTCGCCAAGCTTCCATCTTATGGCTTGCCCATCCTCCTCCCCAGCTATGTCCTCTGCTAGCTAGTTTTCTCTGAATCAGGTCTCTCCATGTAGTGGTCGACAGAGATTCATCTGACTCTCTTATCATAAATGCTGGTGATCCGCAAGGATCAATTATAGCACCAACCACTATTTCTAATCCATATCAACGATTTTTTGGAGGCAACTTCATGTCCAGTACACAGCTTCGCGGATGATAGTACCCTCCAAACCGCCTTCTCTTCCAGGGCTCCAATACCAGCCAGGCAAATCAGAAACGAACGAGGGAGAAATGTTGACCACATAAATATGGACTTGGCAACAATTCTCGAATGGGGATCCAATAACTTGGTAGATTTCAATGCAAACAAAACATAAGCATGCATTTTCTCTAGAAAAGCCGATCTCACTGTGCCCAACATAAGCTTGTCAGGAGAAACCATACCTTTGAAGACATCCATTCCGATGCTTGGTATTACTATCAGCAATAACCTTTCTTTCGAAAATCACGTGAGATCAATTGCTAAAAGTGCATCCCAAAAACTTGGTTTTCTGTTTCGGGCCAGGAGCTATTTCACTTACAGTCAGCTGCTTATGATCTAAACAACCCTGAAACTGTTGGATTCTATCCCAATTCTTGTGGGTGATGCCTCGCTCATAAATTCGCTCACTTCTCTGGAACACCGTAGAAAAGTTGGCGATCTGGCTCTATTTTATAGATATTTTCATGGACGATGCTCTTCTAAAATATCAACAATTTGTTCCTCCCTTGGCAGTCTGCGAGATTAACCCGTCGAGTTGAGGCTTCGCACCCCTTCGTGGTCAGTTTGGAGACCTGCAGAACATCTCTTTGCAAAGACTCGTTCATCCAACAAACAGCGAGGCTCTGGAACACATTGCCAAGGGAGGTGTTCCCCGAGGCATGTAACCTCCAGAAATTCAAGAAGAACACCAATTCCTACCTTATTTCCCTTGGTTCTCACGATGTACTCTGAACATTACAGGATATCCCTTTTCGTGGGAACCAGAACATAAGAAAAAGGCAATAATTTAATCGCTGTAATGTGTATTTGGACCAGCTGGACACCTCGACGCCAGGAAAGTACATGTTGTTATCTGGGAATATGAAAAAAATCAGAGTTCAGGTGGAAAAAGTCAGTTTTTAAATATTTAGGCTGTGTCAAGTCTGTGATTTGACCGGGCGCATACGTTCAGTATGAATGAAGTCTGATCATCAGTTTGACCAACAAGCTGTTTGGGAATATCGGTCACGTTTCAAACCTGCCCGTAAAGTTACCACGTTATTTTTGATGGAGGTCGAGTCAAACAGCACTGACCATCCTGGTATCACCATTGTGGTCGAACGAATGACTTGACACAGCCTTAGTCTGAGTTTCAAGTCTAAAATTTGAACGAAGAGCTACCCAGGGGATAAAACGAACATACTAAATTCTTCATAACATCATTGACAGAAGTATACACATTGCATAATGCATGTTATTATAAAACAAGAAATAAAATCGTTTGAAACTAATTCTTGCATATAACTACTTACTCTAGTTTTACTTTATCAAAATTAGATTTTTTTCGGATCCAGGTCCTCACTGCGTTCACGTTTCACACTGATCCAGTATTCCATATGTCACATGTCAAGTAATTAATTCCAGCTGGCAGCAATCACCAGATTTCACCATGTAGGTATTTGAAAAAAAACACCAAATAAACCAACTGCTAGATACCGTATTTTGTCCAATGAACTCAATGTAAAGTTATTCTTACATTACAGACTTTCTCTGGACTGTTTTGAATATCAACTGAGCAGGCCTGTCGGATAATTTTCATGCAACTTATAGGCTTGGCGAAAATTAGAAATAATTGAAATTTTCGAGGTCATTCCCATTCAACTTTGCATATTTCTGGGGATTTCGTGATTTTACCACTGACATAAAACTTTAACCAGTAGCTATAATTATCTCAAAGTTATAATCAACTTTTCTCTTGGCGCAATACTGTTGCGGAAAAAAGTATAACTTTTCTTAATTCGATGCTCAATTTTCCCCTATTACTTTGAATTGAATGTGGACTCATCCATACGCAGGTAATTATCGAAGGCTTTCAAGTCAATACAATCTTTGAATTCATTGATGATTTTCAAGTTTCCCATTTTTGTATTTAACCATGTTTTTTTCCAACAAGTTCTAATCCTTCAGTTTTCAATACGCCTTTTAATAATATAAGTGGCAAGAACAGCAGAGACTGTTATGGGTAGAACAGCTTTTTGTTTTTCAATATTCATTTCGAAACGATCCACATTCCGCAGTACAGAAATAATAAGCTAGGTTCATAGATGAGACACCACCTAACCTTATATAAACTGTGTATTTGACGAAATGTCAAAAAAGTCTTGGAAAACTGCAGTAAAAAGGCTCAAATGTAGGAAGGCGAATTTTTAGTTTCGATACGCAACTAATGTTGCATGCAATCGAACTACAGAAAAAAGTCTGTAATGTAAGAATAGCTTCATGATTTCGTCAGGAAACGTTGGGAAACTAGAACTCAAACCACCCAGTTCTACTGTGAAATCCACTAAGTTGGCAACACTGCAGTGAGTGAGTCGCTTCCCAGCATGCTGGACAAGTCAGGGGCGGACTGGCCCAAGTAGTTGGAGATACAGCGACTTTTTTTGACACATTTGATACCATAATTTCATTATTTTCGTGTCATATTAACGCCATCTAGACATAAAATCAACTGCTGCGTACCATTGGGACAACGATTATCAGCAGCTTATCAATGTTGTTTGAAAAAATGAGTAAATGTCAAACATGATAAAAGCTGAAACTTTACCAATCTTTTAATAACATATCAACGATGTAATAACATAAATACTACAGGGTGAACTAGAGACCTGAATAGGCCGATGGAAATCAACTTACCTCTATAGGAAAATATACCGTTCAGCCGTAAGAGGGCACTGAAGATTGATTTCATTTCCAGATTTTCTTGAATACTTCAAAATCCTCAAATGGTACTGCTCTGAAATTCGTAGGGCCATTCACTATCGTATAAATGTGCATGAAAATCATTTTATACCAATTTGATTAGTATACAGGGAGATAGATATTTCGCATTTTCTTTGATGAAAATTGGTGTAACTTCTTTGGAGTACGCCCCTGACCTCATTACGATATTTCAATGAATGACAAAATCAATTACCTAACATTTCTCGGACTGCAGTTTTTTTTATAATTTCTCTTGGTTATCGAGTTATCTTACAATAGTTATTTAAGATATATAAGTGCTAAAAGTGACATTTTATTTTGTGAGAAGGGAAGTTTGGGACACGACGCCGAAGGCGGAGTGTTTCATCCCTTCGAACAAAAGAAAAAACACTTTTAGCACATATATCATACACTATTTTTTCTACAAACACCATTAAAAGTCCAAATTAACGCATAACTATTTTACGTTACTTATCAATTGATTAAATAGCAGCCTCGAGATTATCAGTTTTGAATCCAATTCAATCAAATCCATTCATGAAACAAGTTACCAAGGTAAACAAAAACTGAATTTGTTGTTGTTGACAACTAACGACAATAAATCACGAATTATTCTTTCTCGTTTCTTCGTTCCTCGATGGAAAGTGCCCAAGAAAATGAATTTCTTCCGCCGCAAATTGAAGAAGCTGCCAATTAAGCTGTTTTTGAATTATTGCCTAGTAAGTCAAAGCGACAGTACGAGTTTTCATACGAAGGTTTCTTGAAATGGTGTGATCAGAAAAATGTCAGTGAAAAGGAGGCCAGTGAAAAAGTGCTTCTTGCATACTTTGAAGAAAAGTCCAAAATATAGAAATTGTCAACGCTTTGGTCGAATTACTCTATGTTAAAGTCGATAATGAACATAAATGATCATGACAAGCAGATATCACAAGCTTGTGTCTTTTTTGATGCGAAAGGGTGAAGGATATCGACCGAAAAAGTCAAAAGTATTGACAAGAGAACAAATCGACAAATTTGTCGCAGAAGCCCCAGATGAAATATATCTAATGCAGAAAGTTGCTGCGATTTTTTGTGTTTTTGGAGCCTGTCGTCGAGAAGAACTGTGTGATTTGACATTAAATAATATCGAGGATTCCGGAACTTCACTAGTTGTGCATATACCAGACACAAAAACTAATGTGCAACGCACCTTTGTTGTAAGTGGTACATTGTATATGAACTACTTACTACAAAAAGTACATAGCCCTTCGTCCAGTGGATATTAATCATTCTAGAGTTTTTATAAAATGCATTAAAAATAAATCTGCCAGGACTCCAGTTGGAATCAACACATTTGGTAAGATGCCTGCCAAAAATGCCGAATTTCTTAATTTGCCTGATTCCCATTTATATACTGGACATTGTTTCCGACGTTCCTCAGCTAGTTTGTTGGCGGACTCTGGTGCTAGTCTTACTACAATTAAAAGACATGTTGGATGGAAGTCCAGTACAGTAGCAGAGGGTTATATAGAAGACTCGCTACAA